CAGCAGTTTAGTTGGACGTACTGTGAGATGAACACTCCATTTAAGAACGATTTGCTTCTGCTTAACGGCGCTTTAGTCAGAAAGTAAAAGGTCGGTTAAAAATAGCCATCGATCACCCTTCAGAGACAAATTCGAACAGTAGTTCTTTATCCTTTCTCTGTGATTTAGATGCTAACTATTCTTGTCTTTTTTAAATTAATTAAAATGGGTTTGCATTATTTCGTTCATTTTAGGTTGGCTGGAATGATACCCTGCCGATATGCGTCGACAGTCTGCCACCGGTGTTTCAAGACTGCCCAGAAAAGCCGATCTATTCAACCTTAGACAAAAATGGTCAGATTGTGCCGGTGAATTTTGAAACTCCGAAAGCGGTGGATAATTCTGGCAAAGTTGCTTGGATCGACACTGATCCTCCAAATTTCCAAGTGCCGTTCTTCGTCACCAACGATATGAATGTGACATACACCGCGTATGACTACTCAGGGAACAGTGTGAAATGTGTCGTGCAGCTGAGAGTTCCAGGTAATTGAGGAGCAGATTTTATATTGCTTTGAATTAAAAGCCTATATGACTCTTGCAGACAATCAGCCTCCGGAAATAATCTGCCCAGACTCGTATTCTATCTTTGTTGACGAAGAAATCCCGGAATACCACATCGTTTTCAATCAGTCTACGGTAGACGTCAAGGCGCAAGATCCTTCCGGTTTAAAGGAGGTACGGATCTGAAGGGAGTTTTAGCATTCATTCTCATTTTCGTGGTTTCAGGTATTTTTCTCTCCTTGGCATGCCACCCTGAAGCTGAGGGAGTACGTTTCTGTCACCGTCACGGCCATAGACAATTTCGACAATTCAAATTCATGCATGTTTCAAGTGGTGCTGCAACGTACGGCGACTTTGATCTAAGTAATTAAACACTGAGCAATACCGACGGTTTTTCTAGCTTCCCCCTGTCAGACGTGGACTCTGGTTGCACCAGACCGCAGCACAAAGACGTGCACTTCAAATCCGGGTAAAACAGGCCTGAAGTGTACTGTTCAATGCCAGACCGGATACCGCTTCTTGGACAACAGGTCGGAGAAGTCCTTTGAGTGCAGCTACGGACAAGAGTGGGCACCAAGTTTCATAGTGCCATCTTGTATATTAGTTTGTAAGACAGGGTTGATTGAACGTCAACTTGTGTTTTATTCAGCCGATTCGACTTATAGCTGAGAATCCGGCTCGATTCAAGTTCACCGCGTCCATCACCTATCCGATTTCTGGTGTCTTGAATGCCAATTGTCTGAAAACCTATGAAAACGTTTTGTACGCCTTGATGGAGAAAGTGGGTGGCGTTCTGTCTCAAAAATGCTCAGCAACCGTCGAGGTGCTGGTCCAGACATTGGAAATAACGACGTCCTCAACCTCAGACACGGTAAGTCGTGTATGATCAACGTGTTCTCATATTCATTTGTCATTTGTAGGTGATTTCTAACGTCTCGATGCAGATCCTGCCGACGGTCGCCAATGAGGTATTCTACAACTTGTGCAGCCTGACGTTGGGCACGATGTTCGACATGGCCATTCCAAATGTCGCCGCACCGGTCGCACCGTTGCTGAACGTTGACATGGAGGTCAGCAGTGGATGTCCTTCGCTGAAGGCGTCCAAAACCACGACCTTTAGTGGTTTCAATTGTTCCACCGGAGAAGTTCTGCTAAACTTTGGCGAAAGACTCCCCAAATGCGGTATATTTTAGCTGGATGCTGCTTCTACTGGCCATAGGGCGAAATAACAAATTTTGCATTTAGTTCTTTGCCCACCGGGAACTTATCGTAAAAACGAGAACGACTGCGTCCAGTGTCCCCTTGGAACGTACCAAGACGAATCAGGACAGATGAAATGCAAAGAGTGTCCTTTGGGAACAACTACCTTTCATCATGGCATGGTTAACTCGACTTACTGCGTAGGTAGGTGCAATAAATCTGAGGTGTCGGTCAATGCTGATTCAATGTGATACTTTGTAAACATAGAACTGATCTCGTATGGTGATTGTACAATTCATCGAAAGTGAGGAAATGTCATATCGAACTAATTACATGTGTTGACATTGACAATGTGTCCATTACAACAATATGAGGAAAAGAGACAATTTGACTAGAAGGAAAATGTTGTCAGCCATTAAAACAATAGCTCATATGTTCAAAGACCGGTTGGGTTTCAATTTCCGGTGATTATCAGTGATTTGCCTCAAAAATGTGTGATTTGTTTATTGGACTTTCAGCCTTTATATGTGTTTCTATTATTGCAGAAGTTTTAAATGCTCCCATCTATCACAAACATGAGCGAATCTAAATGCAAGTATTTCTAAATATCTAAATAGTTTGCTTGTTTGATCCATGCGAATGCCTCCAGAAAGGAGGACAGATCCGACCGGCAGAAGGCCTAGGGGACAGCCATGATTAACCCGGTGCAAATATACGGAAGGAGTCTGTTCCATACTCCATTTGTCTTTTGCCGAAGCTCAGACTCTGACAGAAAATCAAGAACATTGGAAGCACTGTCCGACGCGTCTTCCTCGGCGACCCGAAAGGTGAAGCGGCCATGGAAGATGAAGATGCTTGATCCAGCACAGTAAAATAGTTTTGTATTCATGCATTGCGGGTGTTGTAATGCCATGGAGTGTCATAAAGGGTTTCCTAAAATTGCTTGTAGCAAGGGATTTGCGTGACTACTATGCGAATCGGGAAAATCCGCGCAATGTTATGCAGATCAGCTATGTTAATAGTTAGCGTTTGCTGGTGAAGGGCATTGCCTAAGTGGTACAGCATTTTAGTCAGAATAGAGAGTTTATGAATTTGAGCCAGGTTGCCTCACTCGCCTTTCATTCATCTGAGAGAGATCATTAAATGCGACCTGGTGAGAGAAAGAGTAGAAGGCTACATGCCGTACCTGTCTTTATGACGAGAAGCCCATTTAACTAGTGGCGTAGAAATGGAGGCCAGCGCTGCACTATGAGATCTTAAGACAAGATACCATGGTAGATTAAAGAAGACCGAAATCTCATGGTTATAAATTTACATTCCATTTGCTATTATATCCATAATTTCTTATGCAATTTGCTTTAAACCAAAGAGACTTTCCATTCTTACGTTCGAATAGTCATTCAATTTAACATCCAATAGTTCAAATAAAAGCCAGTTAAGTTCTATTGAGAGACTCTCGCGTCGTCACCTCAGTTTTTTTTAATTGTTCTATGACGTCACAACTAGGGGGCTCGCTGTAATCTGTGACTTCACTTGGATCAGTTTTACATCGGTGACGAATCGTGCCTACGGCAACACCCGTGCGATTCCTCGCGATTTCGAGTCTTCTTTCTCATTCTCAATAAGCGTGGTCTTCTCAGCACCTGATATAAATTTACGCATCATGGTGGAGGAAACAAAGCTTCCTCGCCCTCCAGGAAGGGTACCACTAAATCGTCCGCCGATGAGCTGAGCTATGTGCTGGCTCACCGCAGCGTCTCTCTCTTCTGTTTTCTACCACGACGCCCTACACTCCTGTCTGCTGTTTAACACCATGTTCGGGGCGTTAAGAGATTCCCAGCATTTTTCATTACGTGGTTCTCTCCGTGGCAGATAGCCGGCGCTCTTCGGCTTTCGTGAGTGACACCGTTTTACATTCAGTCGAACAGCGTGTTGTTTGTGAGGCAGCCAGAGCTCGTTTCATTTAGCAGGTTGATGCAACGGGGTGTGTACAGTTACGATCATTGATACACGATTCACTTATGCTGCGTTGTAGCAATGTGCCAGAACGGAACGTTCAGTACTACCGGTGTAGTGCCTTGCCGCTCATGCCCCGTGGGAACGTTTTCTCCAACCAACATTACCGCCGGCTTTACGACTTGCGAGAAATGCCAGAACGGAACGTTTATGGTTGTCGCGGGTTCCAAATCTTCCTCAATGTGCAGAAGTAATTACACTGAATTGTTGACTGTAGTTGCTGTTCCTCACCAGACAGTCTTCGCAGAACCGTGCGACGTTGGCGAGTACTCATGGTCTGGTCTCCAGCCTTGTTCCCAGTGCCCAGTGAACTACTACCAACCAAATACGGGCCAAGTGGGCTGCATCGAATGCCCCTCGAAAACCTACACAGCCAGACCAGGTGCTAATTCGTCCGCAGATTGTGTCCCAAGTAATGATTCGAGGTTTCAGTCTTTTGTGATAATACGTTTAATACGCTTGTACTTTAGTCAAATGCGACAAAATAAAATGCGAGAACGACGGAGATTGCGAGGTACTTGACCACTCTATTCGTTGTCGATGTCTGCCAGGCTTCTCGGGTATCTTGTGCGAGAAAACCGAAAACGCCTGCCTCTCCCAACCGTGTTTTAATGGCGGACATTGCATCCAGAAGAAGGACAGCTTCACCTGCCAGTGCCCCGCAGGTATTAGTTTTTAATCTATGAATGTTTCGCTACTACTATTTTAAATGTTGTCCATATATTTTTGGCGTAACTGCTCTCGTTATTCGTGCCATAATTATGGAACTCTGAGAGGATTTTTAGACTAGGTTTGGGTGCACTGGGCAGAAATCTGATGTAACATGATCAAGAGATTACCGGTATAGCTTAAGACGTATCACATTTGTCTTCCTTGCAGCGCAACAAAAACCTAAACACAGTATAAAAGACACAGCTTGGTAAAAGAAGACAGAATAGCTCTTATGTTTTAGAAATATCAACTTGAGTATAGCATGAAAGACTGTTCAGGAACCGACCGTGGAGTGGATTATTAGATGTATAGAAGAGCTCGCGTTTTCGCGATTTAAATCCAGCTCATTGGGTTTGCTCGTTTGGAGGCAGACCGGGATATTGGATCAGATATAGGCATCCTTAAGCAATTCTTTTACTACCCGAGAGAGGAATAGACGGTTTTGAAAAAGAATTAATATATGACAGCGCGGGGCTCACTAAAAGGTGTTGCTTTATTCTCCAAAATATGCAGTGTTTCCTTGCTCACGTGACTGACCTTATGTATCTAACTCGATAAGTGCTTTGATACATTGCTGCTGGCCAAGTACTGAACTAAAAGAGTGTTAAATGAATATGTTTTGCGTGTTTAGATGTTCATTCATTGTTTTACAGTTTGCAAAAATGTTTCGTTTGTAGGCAGCTATGGCGACTTGTGCGAATCTTCGTTGAATGAATGTAAGACGGTAGAGTGTCATAATGGCGGAGTCTGCCACAATCTACCAGGCGTAAATACTTTTGAGTGTCTATGCCGGTTTGGGTACACCGGCGAGAGGTATTTCATTACATAGTTTTTGTTTCGGCAAACTTCCATCAATATAATGCTTAGGTGCGATATAGTTTGGAACCCATGTGAAGGTAATGATAACTTGTGTCGAAACGGGGGAACCTGCAAGCCGTTTTACTTTGGACTCTACAAGTGCCTATGTCCTACAGGGTGGTCTGGACCTCACTGTGAGGTTAACATCGGTATGGCTTCACACTCTCATTACGACATGAGTCATTTTCTCGACCGTCGTTATTTCGTTTAGACGACTGTGCCGAGCAGCCTTGTGCGCTGAACGCCACCTGCCATGACTTGGTAAACGACTTTTCGTGCGATTGTCCCCGTGGCTTTACCGGCAAACGTTGTGAAACGAAAGTTGATTTATGCAAGCCGGACCCTTGTCGTCATGGCCAATGCGTCGACAAAATGTTCAGTTACTACTGTCTGTGCAAACTCGGCTGGACCGGTAGGCGAATTGTGCTTCGTTGCAAACTCCGTAAACCGCTTTACACCGGAAATGCTCAGGTGTAAATTGCGACACGGGCATCGACGACTGTGCCAGTGCGCCTTGTCACAACGGAGGCACGTGCGTTGATCGCGAAAACGGTTTCGAATGTCACTGCAGCAGCGAATACACCGGATCACTGTACGTTTCCAAGTGACGTACGCCTAGTAATTGGAATGATTCTGGGACGTTCAGATGCCAGCACCCGGTGGATCGATGCGTCGGCGTCCAGTGTCTCAACAACGGCACGTGTCGAAGTGGCGTCAAGAGCTTCGAATGCCTATGCGAGGACGGATTTTACGGTACGAGCTTCTCACGTGACTGCTGAACAGCGACCAATGGTGACTGACCAGATGCACCCATTTCAGGAACTCGCTGCGAAAATGTCATACCCACCTGTGACCCGGTTCGAGACTGTGGCCGCGGCGCCGTGTCTTGTTCTGTCATCGGTCAAAGCGTCCACTGCCTGTGTAGATCTGGCTACACAGGACAGCTTTGCAACGTATGTGTTCCTACAATGCATAATGAGGGACGAACTCATTCGCTTAACTGTCTTCGACATTCGCCCCCAGAGGGTAGCGATGTATGGTTGTTTCTTCGATCTTCGCATCTTCCTTAATAATAAGTACAAGATTGACGACATGCTGAAGTCGATCGCCACCTTATAATACAGCGCTGTAAATTACTCCTCATGATGAAAAGAAGAGTCGCGTCGTTTGAGGGAAAGATCTTGTTTCAAAGAGCAGTAACAGTCTTTGACGGAATGACGTCACATAATAAGTTTACTACGTGTAAAATTTCTATTTTTTTAATCGTTTGCCGATCATGTTTGATCCGTCTTCAGGCAGGACAATGAGACAACGCTAATTAATGCTGTAGTGACTAATGCACCATATGTTAGCGAGGACTCGGCAGTAATTTCAACTTCGATAATTAAAGCAGCTTGATTATTTGATCCCTCTCGTTATTGCATTTTACTCCCAGAAGATGGACAAAATGATCTGAAAGAATGAATGAGCGAATGAATAATGGATGAAAAGCAAAATAAAAATGGTTATTTTTTTGTACAACAGATTTGAAAATGGTTTTCGTACACCACACCTAAAAAATCTGAGCAAAATTAAGTTGTCTACTGAGTCTCATGTATTCTCAATGTTTAGTGTTACTATTGCAGATGTCGTTGAATTCGTGCTCATCAGATCCGTGCCTAAACAACGGAACCTGCGTTAATGAACAAGGCGCATTCAAGTGCCACTGTG